CTGGAAAACAATAACTCACTCTTACAGGCCTTGGGAGACAGGCCGATCCTTGCCTACAGACAACCCCCTAACCTGAATAAGCCTAGGCTTATTGGTTAATCTTGTTGACTACATGCATTCCCTCCCCTTGCTTCATCTGTATCAAAGGCAGCAAAAGTGAGGGGGGAAGCAGGAGCTGGTGCTGGAAGGAGCCATGGTGCTGCCTGCTCTCCTCCCCCCCCACATGCTGCTGTCTCTATCAGAGGCAGCAGTGTAAGAGGGATGGGGGACAGGGGAGGCTGCCACGAAGCAGTCGTCCATGGAAGGCCTGGGCTCCCCATGGACAGAGGGTGCTCTTCCTTCTATGTTTTAAGCCGGTTCTCCACGAGCACCAAATCCTGTGGTGAGGATGGCAGAACAGCCGCTGTCCTCGGGGAGCTTGGACCCCCTGTGGACAGACTGCTGCCATCCCGTGCTGCTGACTCTGTATCAGGCAGCTGGTCTGCATAGGGAGCTGTTTTTTAAACTGGATCCCCTTGTGGACCAGCTCTCGCCTGGCACCCTGTGGCCATGGCAGCAGACCCTGTCCGTGGGGTGTCCGAGTTCCCTATGGACAGAGGCTGCTCTGCCTCCCATAGAGCAGCCTCTGTCTGCAGCAAACCTGGGCCTGCCATGGACAGTGGCTCATCTAATTTGTTGTTGCATAATGAATATGCAAATAAAATGTTACTGGTCTACCAACAGTTTGTGAATGGGTTTGTCAGTCTGGGGTATAAAAAAGGTTGTGAACCACTGGTTTAGCAGGCTTCCTGCTTCTGAAGCACTTTTTTTGTTTTGTTTTTTCTTTGGGTTTGAGTCTTTGGCTAGTTATTCTTCAGATTCTTCTTTGGCCATCTTATATATATTCTTCTACTTCACTTGCCAGAGCTTACTCTCCTTTCTATTTTCCTCACTAAGATTTAACTTCCACTTTTTAAACAATGGCTTTTTGTCTGTCACTGCTTCTCTTTCTTTGTTTTTTAGCCACAGTAGCGGTTTTTTGGTTCTCTTACTAAATGATTTTTTTTTAAATTTTGGGTATACATTTAAGTTGAGCCTCTATTATGGTATCTTTAAAAAGTTGCCATGCAGCTTGCAGGGATTTTACTTTTGGCATTGTATCTTTTAATTTCTGTTTAAGTAACTTTCTCATTTTAATGTAGTCTCCTTTTTTAAATTAAATGCTATCATGTTGGGCTGCTATCATGTTTTCCATGCCACAGGGATGTTAAATTTAATTATATTATGGTTACTAACTATTACCAAGAGTTCCAGCTATATTCACCTCTTTGACCAGATCCTGTGCTCCATTTAGGATGAAATCAAGAATTGACTCTTCTCTTGTGGGTTCCAGCACTAGCTGCCCCCAAATAACAGTCATTTAAGGTGTCAAGAAACTTTGCTTCAGTATCCTGTCCTGAGGTGACGTACTCAGTCAACATGGGGATTCCCCGTTATTATTGAGGATTCTTTATTTTTATAACCCCTCTAAGGCCCCTCAGCCTCTTCCTGAGCATTTCACAGTTACTGTCATCATCCTGGTAATAAGGTGGTTAGTAATGTATCCCAACTGCTCCATTATTATTATTTGAGCATAGAATTACTATATAGAGAGATTCTGTGGTACAGTTGGTTCATTTAAAGATTTTTTTTACTGCATTTGAGGCTAAATTTTCTTTCACGTAAATGCCACTCCTTCACCAGGAGGATGTGTTCTGTCCTTCTGATGTGATTTGTACCCTGATATTTTGTCCCATTGATTATCCTCATTTCACCAAGTCCTTTTCTGCCTGTTAAATCAATATCCCAAAAAGACACTATAGTTCACCAATCTTATTACTTACATTTCTAGCATTTGTATATAAGCACTTAAAAACAGTCACTTTTCAACTGTTTGCCATTATATGATATAATTGAATGAGACTCTTTTTTCATTTGACTGTCCCATCAAATTCTACCTGTATTTTCTCTTTTTCCATCCTCTCCTCCTTACTAGGACTTACAGAATATTCATTAATAGATCCTTCCCTAATGGATGTCTCTGTCTGAACCATAGCTCTTCTGCCTCTGTAGGCTTTCCCCCAGACCTTAGTTTAAAAACTGCTCTACGGCATTTTTAATTTTAAGTGCCTGCAATCTAGTTCCATTTCATTTAGTTGGGTACGTTATAACTCTTTATGGAGAACTGTTGCTTGCCTAAGGGATTAGTGTTCATATAAAATGCTCATTTGAAGCAGAGGCATTCAGTGCCTTTTGCTATTTCTTATTAGTATTTTAAAGGTATTTAGTTTCCAGAGAATGTTGTCCAAAAGATCTTTTTTAAAGTAGATGAACTTTTGGATGTAAAGGACAGTGGTTACTCTGAAAAGGGACTTTGTGAAAATGGTTTAAATGATTATCATCTCCTCTCATTCATTTGCTCTGTTTATAAGGATTAACAATGATTTCCTAAGTAATAATTCTGCAAATGCTATACTGAATCTAAAAATCATGGGTCACTTCTGACTCACCTTCACCAACAATAAAGATTCTGTAATCAAAAGTCAGTAAATAATTCTGTTGACAATATACAACCTGGGACAGAATCCTTTTCACTCTCACAGCTATCCTGGCTGTGCTTTCCTAACTGGAGTAAAGACTTGCTTTAGACAGAAAAGCAGTGGTTCTCAAACTTTTTGGCCTGTAGCCCACATTGCTCAACATAGACCTTTATGCGGACCACCAACCAACCACCTACGATGACAAAATGGGTGCAGGTGGGGGTAAGGGGTCTGGCCAGGAGGTAGGGTGCAGGAGGAGGCTGAGGATGGCGGATCTGGGAGGGAGGGAGGGAGAGTGTAGAAGCAGAGTGGTGGTGTGGGATGTTGTCCAGAATGGGGTGTGGGACTGTGATGGGGTGCAGGGTTTGGACATGAGGGGGGCAATTATTAGGGATGTTAGCATATAGTCGAATTATATAGTCTGGGTTTATTGGTTAATCCTAACTACACACACTCTCACTCGGCTTTTAAGCCGGTTCTCCACGAGCACCAAATCCTGTGGTGAGGATGGCAGAACAGCCGCTGTCCTCGGGGAGCTTGGACCCCCTGTGGACAGACTGCTGCCATCCCGTGCTGCTGACTCTGTATCAGGCAGCTGGTCTGCATAGGGAGCTGTTTTTTAAACTGGATCCCCTTGTGGACCAGCTCTCGCCTGGCACCCTGTGGCCATGGCAGCAGACCCTGTCCGTGGGGTGTCCGAGTTCCCTATGGACAGAGGCTGCTCTGCCTCCCATAGAGCAGCCTCTGTCTGCAGCAAACCTGGGCCTGCCATGGACAGTGGCTCATCTACAGCAAACCCCCCCTCCCCCCCTCTGCGTGCTGCTGCCCCCTATTTGAA